GGAGCAGCTCCAGAAGCACCCTCACCTTCCGGCAGCCGTGGTCCTCCTCGGCGGCCCCCTGGCTCAGCTGGCCCGCCTTCTTGCAAATGGACGGCAGGGACTGGTTACAGGGGCTATCGTTCCAGCGACCTTCCTAGGGACACAGGGTGAGGGGCAGTGTCAGTCTCCCTGCCCCAAGTCTCCCAAACCTGGCCCTGCCTCTGACTTGCTGGGCTATTCTGAGCAAGAAGCTTGACCTGTCTGTGCTCCATGGTGGAAACGGGGGATGTGCAGGATTAGTGCCATAAGCCTCACTAGGCTGATGCGAGCACACACAGGAGCTGTGCCAATGCCTCCAAACTTTGACAAGCACTGTCAAAATGGAAAAGGTGCTCTTTTAAATTACCTCACTTCATAAATACCAAGGACACCACGCTGGCTAAGACCATTGGCAAGACAGATGAGATTCCCAGTTTGGCAAGATGTCCAGTCAGTACTTGCAGATCCAGGGCAAGCAGAGGCTGTGTGCCCAGACCCTCTCCTCGCTGATGGAGCCGCAGAGGAACTCAGTCCTCATCTCCTCCTAAAGGCCTGTGTTCAGTGCACCCAGCCAGCCGTTTCTGTCTGCCTTGAGCGCCATCCAGAGGGCAGAGGTGTTTGTGTGTCTCAGCCCCCAGGAAAACGCGCAGTATTTAACAGATGCTCAATAAAAGCACGTGTTGTCAGTCGTGTCCAACTCTGCAACCGCACGGACTATAGCCCGCCAGGCGCCTCTGTCCGTGGAATTTCCCAGGCGAGGATACTGGAGTGGGTAGCCATTTCCTAACTGTTCATAAACTTTTAAAGAGCATCCTCTAAGCCAGATGCCTCTAGAGTCCCTGGCACTGCTGGCTGTATCTCAAGGTAGAATGTCCTGTCTCTGAGGAAGGCAGTCTGTCCTACAGTTTTGTCTTTTAAGGAATAGACTTAACTCTGTTTGAAACCCTGTATAAATTCCTTCATCTGCCCACACTGTCTGAGCCACAGCCATGGCAAACAGTCACAAGGCCACCATTTCTTCAGAGGACAGGACCCCGGGCTGGGGCAGGGCTGGCAGGGAGCAGCTCCCCCTGCCTGGGGAGCTTGTCACATAATGTGGGTTCTGACGCCACCTGCTGGCGGGGAAGTGCAGCCCGCAGGGGACCAAGATCGCTGCCAGGCGACAAATGTCCAAAGGTTTCATTTAACTCCTTTAATCCTCATGAAGACCCTCTGAGGTTGGCACCTTTAGAGTTCCACTGACAGCTAGGAAAACTGAGGGTAAGGAAACTCAGCTAAGGAAACCGAGGCACAGAGAGGTTAAGTAGCTTGCCCAAGATGACCCAGCTAGTTGGAGGTGGAGAGGAGATTCAAACCCTGGCAATCTCTCCAAGTGGAAGGGAAGGAGACACGATGGGGAGAGGGGACTTCCGAGAGGCAAGGGGGTGGTGTCACAAGCAGGAGCCAATAACGGGACATCCTTCAGCTGCGGTGGCACGGGGAGGCTAGGTCTGGGGGCCCTGTGATAAGGAGAGAGGGTTCTTACCGGCCCCCAGATGGTGACACAGTCCTCCAGGCTGTCCCGGAAGTTGTTGGGCTCAAAGGGGTGCCAGTGGGTGAAGCTCACGAGGCTCCCGTCGGACCACTCAAAATTCATCTGAAGTTTCAGGTCATTGAGACCAATCCACAGCTCCTCCACCTCTGGGGGGGTGCGGCAAGGGAGAGGGGACGTCAGGAGGTCGGCCTTCTCCACTGGCAGGGGAGGCGAGGACAGTGCCTGAGCCCCCGGGAAGGGCTTGGGGAGGCAGCTCCTCACCCTGTTTGATCTGCTTGGTGATGAACTCCAGCTCTGCCATGCTGTGGATGCTGAGTAAGTCGCCCCCGCCCCGCAGACACATCTTCTTGGACTCCTGCCAGCTGCGCTTCTCAGCCTGCAGGCGGTAGCAGTGGCCCTGGAAGGCCTGCCAGCTAGGCTCACACTCCACCTTCACGTTGGCCCACACATCTGCGGAGACCAGAGAGGCCGCTGCTCAGGGGCCGAGATGCCCAGCATGGGCTCGGACCCCCGGGTGTCAATACAGACAGGGCCCTGAAGTCCACCTCCTCCCCAAATGTGTCTTAGATCCAACTCTTCCCACCAAGACAGGTCTGAGGACCAAAGGATGTTGAAAAGACAAAACCCTCAGGGCAGCTGGAGTCCCAGGAGGTGGTGGCAGATTCCACTCAAGGCAAGATGACCCCTCCTGCTGGGGCTCTCAGAGGAAAAGATGGATGGGGACTCAGGACAGAACTGCCCCGAGAGCCTCAGTTTCCTCCTCTGTAAAATGGGGCTTCCTGCTGTAAGATGCCAGCTTAGCTCATGTCCACCTCACTTAATAAATGACACCGCCAACACTATCTCAAAGGACATCTATGGGGACTTCCCTAGTGGTCTGGTGGCTGAGACTCCAAGCTCCCAATGCAGGGGGGCCTGGGTTCATTCCCTGGTCAGGGAACTAGATCCCACATGCCGCAACTAAGAGTCTGCATGCCACAACTAAAGATCCTGTGTGCTGCAACTAAAAAAGAAAAAAAAACCACATGCCATAAGAAAGATTGAAGGTCCCACCTGTCACAACTAAGATCCGGTGCAGCCAAATAAATAAATATTAAAAAAAAAAAGAAAGAAAGAAAAGAACACTATGGAGCAGGGCCCCATCAGTCCAGGATGAAGCAGGTGGGGAAACACACCCCCCTCCCAAGTCAGCAGCTCATGAAGTCACTGCCGCGCGGGCCTGCTGGTTGAAATTTGTGCTCTCATTCCCTCCCCCACCACTTTTCCTCTCCCTGAACCCCAGGGCTGAGAAACCGACGGGTCTTAGGCCCCTCCTCACCCCCATCTCCGTGCATTTCAAGTTCACCCTCTAGGGATTGGGGTCCCAGGGCAACTGATGCAAACAAGCTCTCACTTGGGCCTTGGCAAGAGAAAACAGGACTTCATCAAACCACCCACAACATCGGGCTCGGGCAGGATTCTGCCTGGCTGGGCAAGAGAGCATGTACCCACTTGAAGCAGCGCCCCACTGGGATCCACTCCATCCTGGGAGATGCTCCAAGGACCGGCCATACTGTCTCTGGCAGACCCGACAAAGTGGGGAGGGCTGAGAGCCTGAGCGGGCTCCCTCAGTGGCTCAAGACCTGTCAATCATCTCTTGTCAGCAGCTGAGCTAAGACCTGAGGCTGCCACCTGGACAGAAGAGTTTGGGGGGAGGGAGGAAGCTCAGGGAACGTGGATGCTTCCGGGGCCCGATGGCGCCTGCCTCTGAAATGACATGCTTCGAGTGATGAGTGCTGGAAGGCAGGACCCACCCAAGAAACTGCTTAGAAAATAACACCTTGGGACTCCCCTGACGGTCCGGGGGTTAAGATCCTGTGCCTCCACTGCAGGGGGCGCGGGTTCCATCCCAGACTGGAAAACTAAGATCCCACATGCCACGTAGTGTAGCCAAAAGGAAAAAAGAAAATACGCCTCACATAGAGAGATGTGGGATGAAAGAGGAAATCCAAGGCTAGAGACATATTTGCAGGTCAGTGAGGCCCCAGGGGAGGGCTCCCCACAGCAGCCACGCTGGGCAGATCCAGGGTACCAGGACTTGGTGAGGAGCCAGGCCTGAAGCGGGCGCCAGGGGCAAGGCCTGCCCACACCAGCCCCGTGACCCTCCTTTCTTCGCCTGCCCCAGGCTCCCCCGTGTCCACCCCCAGGGGGAGGTGAGGTGCCCTCGATGTGGGCACCAATGTTTTAAACCTTTGCTCCCGATCCCCTAGGGGATGAGGGGAGAGAACAGTGGCCAATGGCCCTGAATCCTCCTTTGGCAAGACTTTAATGGTCAGAAGCAAACGTCTGCTCTGTAGCTCTACACTTTCTGCGTTTCATGAATTTCTGTTTTGTCTTGCTGTGTTTTCTTTACACAAATCCCCTCCTCACCCCATGGTGACCGGACTCCTGCAGAAGCCCGCCCCTCCAGCCCATGGAGATGCTCCTCTGAGCCAGGCCGGGTCTCCAGCCTTTCAACAACCCTGCAGGGGATGTGAGTTTACCCTCAATCAGCACCTCTGAGACTAAGCTGCCGGACGAAGGCCACACCCCAACCCAACGCGGCACCCTGCCCCTAGAGCTGCCTCGGTGAATCACAAATGTGAGCAAGACACTCCCTGCCTTAAAAGCCTGCAAAGGCTCCCACAGCCTACCTGGCCCCACCTGAATTTCACCCGGAAGCCAAAATCCTTTAGGGGCTGGCTGCAACCTGCCTTTCTGAACAGTCCATGTCCCTGTGCCCGCTAAGCCAGTACTTCTCAAACTCCACACCAATCACCCAAGATCTTGTGAAATGCAGGTTCTGGTTCAACTAATTGGGGGGGGAGGAGGGGAGAGGCACCTGAGAGTCTGCATTTCTAATAAGCACTTATAACATCACTTGGGAAGGTGCTGTTGGTGCAGGGACCACACTTTTTTTTTAAGTTCTCACATAATGTATTATTATGGACGACTGTTCTGGAAAAACATGGACAGCCTGAATGCATTTGGGACCCATCACAGACACTTAGACATACACCATAGTGTGAAAGGAGGATTCGATGACACGTGATGTTGGGCCAGCCTGTTCCAAAAGCAAGCTGAGAATCAGGGGAACCAACACGGCTCCCTGAGGGGACCCTTGGGTGTGTTCCTTGCTGCCCTGTAGGTGGGGTGCCTCGTCCACGCTGGCAGCACTCATCTCCTCTGTTAAACCACAGCAGCAGCAGAAAACGGGAACACTCCTTTGGCAGTTTTTTGTTCTGTTTTTGCAGGCTCCCAGTTTTTTTAATTTCCATCTTCCTTTTCAGAATTCAGTTCCAAATTCTTAAAGTAGTGTAGGTGTCTAGCATCTTTCATGAATTTTTCAGGAGCCAGTTCTGCTCAATGATAATGCCCTGCGCCCAGCCCACCTACGGGCTCCTGCTCGGAGGACATGTTCCCCTCAGCCCTGCTGCTGGCTTTGTGGTCTTCCTTGCAGGGAACACTTCCCTTCTTGCTTGATTCAGAAGGCCCTTTGGCTCTGGCTTTTTCTGTCCTCTGTTGTTGCTTTTCAAGCTTCGACAGGTGTTCTGGATCAGAGGCAACAGCACCAGGGGCCGGAGATTCCAGTTCTGAATGTGGACTTGCAGGGAGGCACTGAACTTGCCATCTTTGATGAGCTCTGGCCTCTCCGCCTTGCACAGCGGCTCCAGGAAGCCCCTGTAAGAGGCCTCAGCCTGCCCCGCAGGCATGGCCAGGTGGAAGTCGGGCTCGTTGCCCTTGGGGAAGCGCTGCAGGGAGGACTTGCTGACAGCACATCATACTGCTTGTCCATCATGCTCTTCGGCCAGTGTTTTCCACTTTCAGCCTCAAACACATGCAGGTTTAAGATCTTCCGGAGCACGTGCTCCAGTTCTTTCTGTGTATCTTCCAGGGAAATACCCAGCAACACGCCGATGACCCCTCTGATGGCTCCTATCTGCTCTCCTTCAACTGCGATGCTGGCCTGGGTGACCCGCGGCACCACGGCCTTCGTGGTGGCAGCTGGGACAGGGACCACGCTTTTAAGTAGCGTCCATCTGTACTCTAACCCTCAGGGGGCAATCCTCACCGATCTTAGAGCAGCTGTGACCTTCCAGGTCTCCGAGCCTCTGCACCTGCCCTTCCCTCTGCCACTCATGCCCTCCTGCCACACCGCTTTATGCCATTTTAAACTTACACTTCACTTCAAAGGCCCAAATCCAATGTCACTTCCTGGAAACCCTCCTTAGCTCTCAGGAGCTTCATCAATTTCCTCTCGAAGCCCTCTAATATATATTCTATTTTTTATAATAACTCTGGATATTCTGTTTGTGTGTTGACATGTCCATCACCTGCAGCAGACTGTGACTACTGGGAGGACATGATAGGTTGTGAAGCACTTAACACAGTTCCCAACAAACGTCCCGGAATGAATTAATAGCACGCCTCAATTTGTTCAGATTTCAGCGGAACCATTTAAGAAGAGGGAAGATCAGAGCCCCCTGTGCTGTGAGGGTGGGTGGGCAGTGGCGGTGGCCTGAGGAGCCCCCCCCGCCATGTCTACCCCGCTCACCGGGAGGTGGGGGCTCGGCGGCCGTGGCATTGGGCTTCTTTTTGCAGACGTAGGGCAGCGCGATGCTGCAGTCGCGGTTCTGCCAGCCGCCCGACGACTCTGTGCGGATCACCCCGCAGTTCTCCTCGCTCGGGTTGTCCGGCTGATCTGTGGGGAGCGCAGGGCGCCAGCGCCCCAGGGGAGAGGAACTCACCCCCTGGCCCGGGAGCCCTCCCCCGAGCCTCGTGCTTCCCCGGAAGCCTGAGCCTGCTCAGATGCCCAGCGCTGCGCTTTGGCTCTCCTGCCTCCTCGCGGGGCTCACGTGGTCCTCAACCCCCTGCCTTGGCCAGGCTGCTGGCGTGCTGAGGGCCCCCATGCCCGTGGCTGAAGGGGTGCATGGGGATGAAATCCAGTCCACCTCCCAGGCTCAGTGCCCCCAGGAAAGGGCATCATTTGTAATTCAGACAACGTGCTGCACGGACCACTGGCACCCAATCCGAAGTGGGTGCAACTCTGCTGGTCTGGAGTAGGGTATCAGGGAAGGAGTCCCTAGGAGACCAAGTGCTTGTGGGATCCCCAGGCCGCCTTGCACCCCAAACCCGGCGCCTCACCACTCTCCCAGTTGAGGTACTTGAGAGGCGAGTTGTCTGACCACTGCCAGCCTCCACTGGTGTCCAGGTCGTTAAGGCCGATCCACAGCGTGGAGCTGTAGCCAGTGAGGAGCCCTGACCACAAGAGGGCGACAGTGAGGGGGGGGGTCGCCCGGGCCCCAACCCTCCACTCGCTGCCCCACCAGCTGCATCCTGCCCTCCGGCAGCAGGAGGAAGGGCTCAGGGCCCCCTCCAAAGGTGGGGACTGGTCTCCGGGTCCTGCCCGCTGCCCCCTCGCCCTGCCTCACCATTGATGTAGGTCTGCTCGTGGATCTCCGTGATGCTCAGCAGGTCCGCCCCCTGCTGCTCGCAGCTGGCCCAGGCTTCCCTCCAGGACAGCGTGGACTGGAAGTTGAACTGATAGCAGCTGTCCGTCAGCTGGTCCTTGTCCCAGAAGGTCTCGCAGTCGTTACCTGCCACCACGACACCCAGGTGTGGGTCCTGCCCCGGCCCGCTTTGCGGGGTCCAAGGGGAGGTCCCTCAAGGAATAGGCAGAGACTCTATGGAGGTGGGGGGTGGGGGCACTTCTCACTCGAGTCCGGAAAGTTCTGCCACCCACACCCGCTGCACTCCCCAGCCCAGGGCCGACCTCCCTCACCCTTGATGGGGCAGAAGCCCCAGCGCTCGTCCTTGCCGTAGTCCTGGGTGGTGGCGCACCACAGGTGCCCATCCTCGCGGCCCGTGCTGGTGCAGCCGTGGAACCACTGGTTGTCATACTTGAAGGGGATGGTGCACGGCTTCCCGTGGGAGTTGCCCTGGATGGTGTAGACCTCTGCAGGAAAGGGGAGCCAGGCCCTTGGCATCTGGGCCCCAGAGGCTGCCCAGCCTGCTCATCCCTCAGTGAAAGTCCCCTACAGCCCTGGGAGCTGGGGTGGGCAGGGGTCAGCGGAGAGAGGGAGGGGGCAGCGATGCCAGACAGTGGCCGGAAGGCTGCCTCTGCCCTTGGGTCAGCCCAGGAGCCTGTGAGAGGTCCCACTGCTCAACCCATCGGGCTGGGAAGGGGGGGTCCCCTAGGGCCCCTAACACCTGTCCAAAATCCAGCTGCCTCACATGCCAAGTTCCATCTTGGCACTCTAGGAGGTATCCCGGGAAAGGGCCCCCAGGATGGAGCGGCCCACCAGGAAAGGCCTCTCACTGGGTGACTCCGGTGCCCATTCACCCCTGCAGAAGGGGGATGGAGACACCTGTGGATGGTGACCCTGGGGTCTCCCTTGAAGAGTGGGCCTGGGAGAGAAGCGATTTCTCTTTTAGTTGTACGTTATACACTTTTGAACTGACCAAGGTCTTTACAAGAGTGTATCAGGTTTTGTCTTTTTTAAGGCAAATTAAATGCTCTGAAGTTCGTTTTCTCCATGATCCCCAAACGGTTCCCATGACGATGAAAGAGTTGACTGCCAGAGGCCTGTGGAGGCCAAGGTTTTGTCTCCCTGCGTCTGTCCCTCGTGGCTCCAAGCCCCTGACACCAGGGGCAGCCTCTCACCATAGTAGGGCCGCGCACACAGGTCCTCGTCGCTGCCATAGAGGCGCCATTGGCCACTGCGGGTCTGGTCACCGCGCTCGGGGGTGCCAGCCTTGGATGCGTTGCCGGAACGGCCCCCCAGGAGCAGGGACAGCTGGTCGCCCAGGGTACGACAGTTCCAGCGAAGATTCAGTGCCTCACGGTCACACTCGTACATGCCCAGGGAGGTGGTGGTGTTGGTGCCCGGCCAGCCTGTGCCCAGGCACTGCATGGTGCCCAGGTTGAAGAGCCGGTTTCGGGAGACCCACTTCCAGCGCTGGGCAGGAAGGCTGGTGTTGCAGGCAGGGGAGACCCGGACCTGCCCTCCCTGGGCTTCCAGGCAGCCCTGCAGTCCATGGCTGAAGATGACAAAGACGTTGGGCTCTGGAAGGGAAAGCAGGACACAAGGCCATCACAGGGGTCTCCTGGCTGCTGCTGACGGCCAGGCTGCCTGCAGACACTGACCCTGGTACTGGGTTGTGAGCCTTCTCTCCTATGATAAATCACTCCATCCTCATGACCAGCCCTTTGCGTGGGGTGGTGAGAGGCACGGCTGACCCCCTGTGCCCAGTCAAGGCAGAGCCCACATGGCCAGCCTCTGCCCTGGTCCCACAGCACCTGGAGGAGGACTCAGCCTTCCATCCTGCCTCCCCCAAAGCAAACCCAATTCCACATGGCAAGTTGGGGACTGTTTACTTTTATGAAGATCTTAGGAGGAGGGGGAAGGTGTTTACATCACACACCACACTGCAGCCTTTATCCCAACCTCTGTTACATGGAGTTGTTTTTCCACCAAAGTTCTCCAGCCCGAAATTGCTTTGTCTCACTCTTCCCCCCCTGCTCCTCACAATCACTGGCTCCATCTTTCCCTCTCATTTAGAATCTTCCCAAACCACTCGCCATGCCCGCCCCCAGCATTCACTTCCAACCATTCACTTCCCATAACCATGTCACTCCTGAGATTTTAGACAGCATTTAGCTCTCTTGCCTTCCCCAGTCTTGCATCTTCTCACCCATCATCTCGCTGAGCAGACACTCTATGAAAGACAATGAAGTCCAACCTGCCCTCTGCCAAACACTGATGAATAAATCAAGATTTAAATTTATAGGAGGTAGATCAGTGGTTCCCTGGGGCTCGGTTGGGTAATGGGAATGGGGAGTGGCTAAGAAAAAGCACATGGTTTCTTTAGGGGGTAATGAAAATGTTCTAAAAGCAAATTGCCATGGGACTTCCCTGGTGGTCCAGTGGCTAAGACTCTGCACACCCAGTGCAGAGTGCCCAGGTTCGATCCCTGGTCAAGGGAACTAGATCCTACATGCTGCAACTAAGAGTTCACATGCCACAGCAAAGACTGAAGATCCCTCTTGCTCAACTAAGACCCAGAGCAGACAAATAAATAAATAAACCCAATCGTTTAAAAAATAAAATTAGATTGTCATGATAGTTGCACAATTCTGTGAACATACTAAAACCCAACTAAAGGCATATTTTAAATGGGTGAGTTTTACGAGATGTGAATTTTATCTCAAGACTTTTATTGTATCTTTAAGGTTTTGAGAGAGAGAAAGGAAGAGAAAGGAAGAAACTGACATGCGTTTGAGCACAAAGTGACCCAGTCATGGTACCACACAACCAGGTCTCTGTGACATCACGTTTTGTGCCCTAGCTGCCACTGAGTACAACACACACACACAGCACATCCCAGGCTCCAAAGCACTTCTGCATCCACTAGCCACTGGCTCTTCAGGATAATTTTCATGCCTGAAAAGCATGAGTCTGACTGGCAGGGTTCAGACCCCAGCTTTGCCATTTAATGTGTGAGGTGGGTGCATTGTTTAGCTCCCTCATCATGAAACTATTGTAAAGGTTAAATGAGATAATACATGTAAAGTGTTTGGAACAGGGTCCAGCACATAATAAGAGCACCATAAACGTTACTGATGATGATGATTCCATACTACAGGCAAAGAATTTGACTATGGGTAGTATAAGAGTTGGACCAGAATCTTGAGGCTGAAATCTGGCCTCCCATCTTCTGAGTTCAAACCCCAAGACCCTTCTGTTCCATCATGCCGGCCTTGTCCTCCCTCTGCAAGCCATTCATCATGGCCAAGCAGCATGATCTTTTAAAGATAAATAAATTCTAAAAAAAATTTTTTTTTTTAAATAATATTGGAGTGTTCTGTGCTCCCAATGCAGGGGGTCCAGGTTCAGTCTCTGGTCAGGGAACTAGATCCCACATGCTGCAACTATGCCCTGGAACAGTCAAATAAATATTTTAAAAAATAATAATAATACCGGCGTGTTGAAAGTCGTAAAGAAAACAGTGGTAAGTTCAGTAACATAATTTTTTTCATGGCACGAAAAATGCTATAAAAACAATCAGAATTCAAGTGACAAAAATACATGTAACTTACTAGAGGCAAATAGTTTATTCCCTAAAATGAAAACAGCTTCTACAAAAAACTGTAATAAATTAGGAGTAAAATGGCACCAATATAGTAGAAATGAGTAAAAGACATGTATACACAGCTAAAACAAATGAAATATAATTGGCTGTTAAATATTTGAAATGACAGCTTCTCTCAAAGCAAAAGAAAAAGCAATATGTCATGTTAGTCTCTCTCCTGCCTTCAAAGGCTCATCATTCTATAAATGAAATTCAAACTCCTTGCTATAAGCCATCAGATCCCACATGTTCTGGTCCTGCTAACCAGTCTAATCTCAGATCACACTACTCCCCCTTGCTTAAGTTGCACGGACCTCCTTGCCCTTCCTTGAACAGGCCTGACTCTTTCCTGCCTCAGGGCCTTTGCACTGCTTCTTCTGTCTGTCATTTCACATTTCAGAAAAAAGTCACATCTTGGGAACTTGCCCGGTGGTCCACTGGTTAAGACTCTGCATTCCCAATGCAGGGGGCATGGGTTCAATCCCTGGTCGGGGAACTAGGATCCCACATGCTCCTGCATGCCACACGGTGCAGCAAAAAATAAACAACGCAGGTGCCCAGGTAACACTCCAGAGACTGATTTAATTGGCCTGACATTGGCATTTAAAAAGTCACATCTTTAGAGAGGCCTTCTCTGACTTCCATATCTATAGTAGTCACAGTTACTCTCTAGCAAATTTTCTCCCCAGCATTTATTGTTATCTGACATTTTTCCAACATCTGGGCTATCTGTGAGTCTGGGTCTGCTGACTATTTTTTCTGTTGATTATTCCTGCTGTTTGCATGTATAGTAAATTTTATTACATACTGGACATAGGGGATAATGTTACCAGGAGCCTGTTTCTTTTGTATTATTATTATTGCATATTGGACTTGTGGATGACATGTTATAGGGAGTCTGGCGCATTATCTTCCTTAAAAGAATGTGGAGTTTTGTTGTGGCAGGCAGTTAAACTGCTGGTAGACCATCCTGATTCTGCAGGGGCTTGGTTTTGCTAGGGTGGGGCTGTTCGGGTTTTTAGTTTAGTCTTAAGGTGTGGCCCTTAACCTTGGGTTTAATCATAAGGTGAGGCCCTTCTAGCATTTCAAAAGAAAACCTTAGGCAATTGCCAAGCTCCTCTAACTCAGTGGAACTTGAATTCCAAACTCCTGTTTTCTCAGCAGCAACTGAAATCTCTTCCCCAACTGCTGTTTCTTGCTGGGTTCCCTAAAGCGTCCCTCTGCCCATGCACAGTTTCGAGCTGCCAAATATTTGAGGAGAATTTGTATGAGGACATCTCTTGCCTTTCTAGGATTTTCCCTCTCGATTTTTAGCTTTTCTGGTAGCCCCACACTCTGACCAGTAAAGCTGCCCCGTTCTTTTGGAGCTCCTCAAACTGGGCAGTGTTCTCAGGAGGAAAGTGAAAAGCTGAAAAGAGTGAGTCACTCGGTCATATCCAACTTTTTGCGACTCCATAGACTGTAGCTCGCCAGGCTCCTCTGTCCACGGAATTCTCCAGGCAGGAATACTGGAGCGGGCAGCCACTCTCCTCTCCAGGGGATCTGACCCACCCAGGGGTTGAACGCTGGTCTCCTGCACTGCAGGCAGACTCCCTACCTCAGATTCTGAGCCACCACGGAAGCCAGAAAGCTGCTTAAATGAACCACTCACCCCATCTTCATCTTCTCTCTCAAGGGCTGTTTCCTCCTTGGCCTCTGCCTGGTTTTGACCGCTCCTGAGCCGCTGTATTTTATGTTTTATCATTAACTGATAAGGGCTTTTGGCCACAGAACCAGACTAATACAAGCTAACCTTCTATTTCCAGAACCAGAGCTCATGAACTAACATGGTTTTGTTTATTTTCTGTCTCCCGTCTTGTTCAGAAGTTTCCAAGACTCCATCTTCACACTGTATCCTCAGTACCTGTAACTCCACCCGACAGACGGTACTGCTTAATAAAATAACAAATGAAGACTGAATGAATGAATTCCATGCCTAGATAACAATCACAACCAACCTAACTTTCTGCTCCTAGTCCCAGCTGCCAGATCAATTTCACTAAAACAGAGCACTCACAGCTCCTGTCACTGCATGTTGAAACTCCACAGTGGGCAGCTTCCCTGGTGGTCCAGTGGCTAAAACTCCACGTTCCCATTGCAAGGGGCCCAGGTTTGATCCCTGGTCAGGGAACTAGACGCCACATGCCATAACTAAGAGATCTCATGCTGTAATGAAGATCAAAGATCCTGCGAGATGCATTAAGACCTGTGTAGCCAAATTAAATAATAAAACTTAAAAAATATATATATGTTAGAATTTAAAAAAGAAACAACGAAACTCCAGAGTGGGAAGGCTGGTGGGGAGGGACACTGGTCACGCTATTCTTTGATGACACCAGGATGGGGGTCCTCTTTGGGCAAGACACAGGTGACTTCCTGAAGGACCAACAAACGTGACCACCACAGCGAAGCCTTCCCCGTCGCCCCCGCCCTAACCTGCTCCTTCCCTTCCAGCTCCTCTCCAGGAACCACGAACTGGCCCAGGACTCCATCCAGGCCTGCCCGAGCGTTTGACTGAATTGGGCATTTGTTTCTCAGAAACTCCACTCCAGCGAGGACAGTCGGCAACAGAAAGTAAGCCTTGGCAGGGGGAGGGAAAGGGTCCAGGACTGGAAAAAGGAGAAAGCAGTACTTGCTTTTATAGGTGATCTTAGAGACGGGGCTGGACACGCAGCCCAAAACATCACAGGAGCCAACAGCAGCCCAGGGGTCAGTGTCTTCCCTTCCTCCCCAACCAGAAAACCCAGGTATGGTACATCCACTTCAGCAGGCATGCAGTTTAACCAGGGGCAAGTGAAGGGTCCAAAAGAGGCCACGTGGTCGGGAGACGCCACCTTCCCACCACTGGACAGATGAGGAAACTGAGGCCCAGAGGGGAATAGAGCAGGACACCCGGGCACAGCACCATCAAGGCCTCAGCTTCCTCCTCTGTCCCCCGGGTCACCACTGCAAGCCCCTCCTCNTGCCTGAGGGCCTCGGTGGCTGTGCAGGGAGTGGAAGCGGCCCTCGTTGGGACCTTGTAGGGTCCTCAGCGAGGACAAGGACGGCCCCCCGTATCTGGATGGTCACCCCAACACCACCACACCAGGCACCCAGGTGTGGGTCACAGTGCACTTGTTCAGGCAGTGAACAAATGAATGAAGCCAGGCAGGTAACCATGCATGGAGCGCCAACTGCACGTCATGCATTTATTTGTTCAAAAAATACTCCCCGAGAACCTCATGGGTGCCGGGCAGGGTGCCAGGCCTGAGGGTGCAGGGCTGAGCCACACAGATACAACCCAGCCTGTCACCATATGGGCTGGCAGGGGCCGGGCTCTGTGTGGAAGATGTGGAGAGGGTAACAGAATCCCTGACCTCATGGAGCCACCCACAGTCTCTGATCTTTGTTTTGTCTGCCCAGCAAACTTCCCGTCCTCTTCCCCTTCTTATTTATCAAGAATTTTCCTGTATCTTTGGCTGAGTGGGCACCAGGCTCACTCTGCTGTGCTGTGCTAAGTCACTTCAGTCGTGTCCGACTCTTTGCAAC